TAGTACAGATGTAATCAGTAATGTGGGCCCACATATCCTAAAGTGCGTATGAAGTCTATCCTCACAGAAGGCGGGGTTTGGAGATAAGCATTAGATCATTAATGTGGAGTATGCTGGTGAGGAAGTAGTCCGATGAGGTTGTGTAAGCAGTATGGGTCAGGATGGTAAAGTATGATAAAAAGCCTTAAAACCATTTAGAGGATTGTTGCATGCCACTGATGACATATGTAGGTGTATTCCTACGGAAGCAGATATATGCACAGTCTTTGAATTTTTGTATCTGTCACCTTGCAGTGGCGTTGTTGGAGAAGGGACTTTATTGAATGGCCTGTCACGTCCACCACGTTGCAGTTTTGGTAAACAGAAATTTGTGGCCTTTTGTATGGCGAATGCTTGCTAGGCCAACTCCAACCAGGTCTTAGTAGCTTATTTACCGGCGTTATGACACTGACGAGGTTTCATCTGATCGACTGTCCTCGCGGTTATTCGCAGTCACGCTATGCTATTGTGTTTTCTCTATCTGTATGGTTGTCTTCTTTAGAGTCGACAGCCAGTGAGTGGAGCTGTTGAAGTCGGACGACTCAGCGGACTTGTATACATTTGCTTTGTTTTCCTTGTTACGTTGATGTCACTAATGCAAAGTGCGACTACTTTCCTTTTTCGGTGTTGATTCAGTGGCCAACTCAGCGTCGCAGGTATGAACTTAAAGGTGTTCCGAGCATATACTGCATCCTTTAGAATAAGGGCGAATATAAAAGCGGACGGGGAAGACTGCCAGGAAAGTTAAACAGGAAGATGATAATGCATAAATACAAATTGTTGGTAACGTTGTGGTTGTTAAAAGCACTGGATTAATCGAACTTGTTCTACAGCAGTCCTGTTGTTTTGCATGCAAGTAGGATACCCGATTTCGTTGAAGTTGAGAGACAACTGCTGTCCCCATTGGCTTAGACTATTCAACAGTTGTCCTGTGTGAAATCCGAGGTATCAGACTCGGTTTACCGGCGAACGGTTTGGGGGTGCCAGCAGAGCATCATAAAATAGTAGGACATGCGATTAAGTTGTAGTTTGAACGGTCGGCTGACTGTGATAACTCTTCTAGTTCGAACAGGCATGCGCACCAGGAGAGTTGTTACTTCGGGTTAGATACCAAGGAAAATAATAACCCAACCTGTTCAGTAATCGGACACTAGAGGAGCAGCTGGCTGCTAATGTAAGCCGGAGTGTCAGAGAAATTGCTACAAGAATAGAATGGACTATAGGCCACAGTTGTATGGAGAATACGGTCTAAAAGCCAGCGATGAATGGGACTTGGAATAGCGAAATACGTTAAATAACTACACAAATATTTTATTCCCGCCAAAGCGAGGCACGCCTTTTGGGTATGATCAGCATATTGCAAAATCGTACACAATGGCATGATTAGCAGTACCGAGAACGCGCCTAGTACAGATGGAGTCAGTAGTGTCGGCTTACACAACCTAGGTTTTACGAGGTCTAAGTCTACAGAATTCGAGACGTAGAGCTAAGAATTGCATCGCTAATGTCGAGTATGTTAAAGGGGAAGTAGTCTGATGAGATCGTGTGAACGGGGCTAGTCAGTTGCACGAACCATGAGGAAAACTGCAAAAATATTTAAGCCTCTAGCATTTAACCGATCAAATATGTAGGCGTGTTCGTACGAGAGCAGACTTATGCACAGAATTCGTAAAAGTGGTATCGGTCATCTTGCCAATGTGTGATTGGGGTGATGAATTTATTGAGTTGCGAGTCACATCCGCCACGTCGCAGTGTGGTTTAACAGAGATCTGTTGCTAGTTGTAGGGAAAACGCTTGCCAGACGATGACCTGCCACGTCCTGGAACACTGCCGATAGACAGACGCGCTAAGGTACAAGTGATCCACTCTTAGTTGGACTTCTACAGTACAGCATACAAGTTTAATAAACGACACGATAGAGCGATACTGGAAAGCGGCTTAACTATGCAGTGGCAACTGCCCACTGTCTTATGACGAGGCACGGACAGACATGTGTCCAACATTAAAACAGGAAAGAGAAGTGAATGCTTAACCGCTACGACTGTAGCGCGAAAATGATTGCATTGCTGGCTGTGAAAGGAACCAGTAACAGCAGGCTAGTGGTTGCAACGGCGCCAACAGATATTGCGGTGTTCCACTATAAGGTGTACATCCACGGTGGGACGTAACGTCAAGTAGTCGGCTGGGACGTGAGTTGCTGGCAGTGCAGTAGCGGCACGCTACTTTAAGCTCAAGCTTGAATTAATAGGTAGGCAGCATTTAAGGTTGGAGGGAGAGCAGACAACCCCACTTACAACAGCCGCATCAAGGAAAATGTTTAGCGCCTGCTCCAGAAGTAACCACAGGTAAGGGAATAACACAGGAAGCACCGATAAAAGATGTTAAATATCTCACTTCAAGTTTTGCTTCTTTTGTGACCAAAAACTCAAAAAGGTAAGCAGAAGAGCGTAAACGTGTCCACCGGATAAGTTGTAATGGAGAGCCGTGCGCTATCATGAGATATGGCAGGTACTAATAGGTATTCTATGTTGAAACCAAGGGCGATAATAGACCGGACTACGTACTAAGGCAATGGCAGAAGAACAGTCGCAGAGCGTGTTCTGAATCGGGCCTGGTGCAACGGAATAGTTTGGGCAACAGCGTCAAAATATACTAGGTGTTCCGCTAAATGGTGGACTTCTACGGTAAAGCATACAAGTCAAATAGACGGTTGAGAAAGGTCGGGGTGTCTGCCGGGTTACTTGAGAAGCAGAAGTCGCTCGTTATCTGAAGAAGCGGAACATACTGTGAGGTATTTAATTTTGACAACGGAGCGTGAGAGGAGACAGAATATACTATAGCTGTAGGGAGGAAAAGGTTATATTGACAGCTCTGAAAGGGACGTGGGGTAGCAATATTATATAGGCTGCGTTGCCAAAAGACACTTGGTGTTCCCCTCCAGGTTGGCTACAAAAGTGAAAAATACAAGTGAAACTGACGACAGAGAACAGTGGTGGTGGAAGCTGGATTTGTTGTACACCAGGAGCCAGAACCTATGGTAAGATGAGGCATGAACTAATAGGCTATCATATTTAAGCACCAGGATGAGAAGTAAGGCGATTGCATACTACCCTTTTAGTTAGAATACGGTTGCAGACGCAACTTTGTGCAGGACCATAAGTTGCCGTATAAGATATGCATCGGAGTCAAAATTTACCAAATGTTCCAGCTCGAGGTGGTCTTATACAGTGCAACGTACTGGTCATCTAGATAGCAGAGAACAGTGTAGTGGGGTCGCTTTGACTGTGAATTAGGAGCCGCTAGATACCCTAATTTAAGGTACGGATTAATGGTCGCACAATATTAGGAACAGGAGCCAGAATGAAAGGGGCTATATTCTACAATTTTGGACGGTTATAAGACCATAACTGAAAGTGAATAGTGGTGCCGGGTCAAGCTGGGCAGCTGCGCCAAACAATACTATGTGTTCTACTCTATGGTGCACATCTAGTGTGCAATATTCATATCAAATAAACAGAGGAGAAATGTAATATTGCCAGCCGCGTAATTGTGAAGCAGGAGTGGCTCGCTATCGTAAGCTGTGACACATATTAATAAACATTCGATGTTGAAATTAGAGTGAGAGCAGACGGGACTGCATAATAGAGCTGTATCGGGCGAACGGTTGAAGGCGTAGCTCTGTAGCGAACGTAGGGTAGCAGAATGCCATAGGCTGCCTTGACAAAAGATACTAATTGTTCCACTCCACGGTGGGCTACAACAGTAAAATATGCAAGTCAGGCAGACAGCAGAGAGGAGTGGTATCTGAGCCGGATTAGCTATGAAACAGGAGCCGCATACTATCTTACAATAAGACACGGACAAATAGCAGTTTAATGTTGAAAACAAGGTGAGCGGAGACCGTGCATATTCTCCAGCTGTAGCGAAAATACAGGGGCGGTGCCAGCGCTACATGGTACTCAGGCTATCGGAGAGATCAGGGATGCGGCGCGAAACGATAGTTATTGCTCTTCCAAAGTGGACTTCTTCAGCCCAACGCATAAGCCTACCAGACGGCCGAGAAGAGTTGGGGTGGGCGCCGGATGTACTGAGAAGCAGGAGCCAAAAGTTATCGTCAGACACAGCATGGACTAATAGGTTAGTAAAGTTGAGAACTTGAGCGAGAATGGAAGTGCGTGCATACTACAGTTATAGTGAGAAAACCGTTGTGGTCGCAGCGCTAAGCAGGACCAGAGGTAGCAGGAGGGATTAGCAATAGCGCCAAAATTTACTGTGTTCTACTCCTGGGTGGACTGCGGAAGTGCAACATTTGTCAGCTAGACGGTACAGAGGACTGTTGGTGCGTACCGGGTTTCTTGTGGAGCAACCGTTATTTTCCATCGTAATATAAGGCACGGGCGGATAGCCGGTTAATGTTAAGTGCAGGGGCACGAAGATATGGGCTTACCTACTACAAGCGTAACAAGCATACGGTTGTAGAGCCAGCTGGAAATGGGATGTGGGGTAGCAAAAACAAATGGGTTGCAGCGCCAAAGGTTACTAAGTGTTACAACGCAAGGTAGATTTCTACTTTAAAACATGCAATTAAACTAGACGACAGCAAACGAGAATGAGGTAAATCGAGAAAACGTTTGCCGCGCTATCTCTGAAAGGGACCAGTGGTAGCGGATTAAGCTGGGCAGCGGCGCCAAATATAATTTTCATAAAGGTGGATTTCTACAGTAAAATAGTAGCCAGTGATGGGAACTTTACATTAGCCGTCGTGTAGGTGGTACTTCGAGGCGATTCAGTGATATGAGAGCCAAACAAATGGAGATGAGAAGCACCGGAAAACGACATTGGCAAGCCGAAGGGGATAGTTTCATAAAGGTACACTGGAGATACCAACAAGCTTGACACGAAAACATGAAAATTGCAGCTATTCATGTATTTGTGATTTATGCGGCATCGCAATGCAAATGTTAGTCTGTTAAGAGGAAAAGGGGGTGGTCCAAAAGCTAGTTGGCTCTACGAGGCCTATCAGTCATACTATGGTTAAACAGGCTACAGGAAGCAAGACATCGACACGAGGCAGCCGAACTTTGATAATAGTGGAAATGTACGGCCGCAGAAGCCTCAAACATAAGAGGAAATAAGGAAGCTGTTGGGGATTTCAATGGTTGTGAGCGATGCGGCATCAGTATACAAGTGAAAGCTTGTAAATCTGTAGGACCGTTCAGTTTAAGGCCAAATACAGCTTAATTCTCTAGGTTAGAAGTGGCTCCCAGTTGGAAGCCAGGAGTAAGTAAGCTTTAGAGTTTAAGGTTACCATTTCTGTGCAGTACCCCTTAGGGCTAAGGGCGGTGGAGTAAATAATTGATGCCCGATTAATGAACCGCAGTAAACAGAACGGTCACCCTCACCGGACATGAGGAGTTGCCACTGTGCTCAAGAACTGTATGCCAAGTGTCGCCTTATCTGCACAGTAGTAAAGTGGCAAGTGAGGTAGACAGTCGTTGAATTAAAACTACTACTTGCACTTAATAGGTCGTCCTCGCAGCTGCACTAACCACTCCCACCTGGGTACTTAGAACCTGTGTGAATACGTACGAGCTACAAATGGGTCAAGCAGCAACGGATATAGGTGAATTGTGTCAGTTAATCGGATTCGCAGTCTAAGCTCCTAGTTTAACCAAAGAATTAATCCAGGCTGTCTCAGAAGTCGGAAAGGCAGGTATTTAGTAAAGGATGATAGGTGATGATGATAGGTGACCGTGGTGACCTTGAAACGGTTCGTTTTTGCTACGTATTGTCCCGCTGTTCTTTGAACTGTATATCGCTACGTTCTGGTTCGGTCTGTGTTACTCCAAAGTAACACATATTAACTGTTACCTCTGTCTTGCTGTTTTTGGATCTCCGTCCAAGCCGTTTTCCAAAAGTCGTTTCTTCGCGTCGCGTGTTCACCGTTTTACTCCACCCTTTTACTCCAGTTTTTACTGATTATTCTTATCATGGTGAAAAAACGTATGTCACCCAAACCTGACAAAAAGAAGACACTGGAACAAGCCGCCCGTGACGTCAGTGTGGCAGGCCCATCTCAAATACGAGATTGCAAATTAGTGCTCCTAGATCCGCTAGCAGAAGCTCTGCACAAAGTCCGTGTTCTCGAAAGTCAGGTAAACTCACTGAAAGAAGAGTTTACATCTCTTGCGACGCTACTAAATAAGGTCATGCCTTTGGTCAACCTGGGCAACCTCCAAACTTTGGCTAGCCAACCTGATATGCTAGCTGCAGGTGAAATATTGAATAGCGTTACGTACGAGGTCAGCGAACGCATTCGTCGTGCCAATAACGCGGTTGTATTCAACGTACCTGACAAGATACCGCTTAAAAAGGTGTTGCGTACTCTTCTCAATGATTGTAGACTACCACACGATTGCTGTTCAGCTACCCGCCTACGTAAGATCCCTGGCCGATCTTGCCCAATAGTCCTGAAATTTAGCAGCCCCGTGCTGGCTAAACGATTCCTTGACGCCCGATATGTTTTGAATCAGCACTCGAATCTCGGGCGTATTCTGATTAAACCGGACAGAACCCCGCTGCAAAGATCAAATTTGCCTACTAGTTCAGTTTCTCAGAAGAAAGAAACTCGAGCGACATCATTCACAGAACCCCAACTCACAAATGCGCGAAAAAATCCAACCTATACGGCCACTTCCTCGACCCTTTGTGAAGTGGACCTTGATTCCTCACAGCGACTAACTTACCGCGATGCAAAAATGCCCTCAGAGGAAAAAAAATCAGCCAAAAGGTACCGTTGCGAAGTCCGTAACATCAGCTGCAAACTCGACTGTTGCTGTAGACACGACTGAATACAGTACTCAGGCTGTTGATATGTCTGGCTTGTGCGACATGGAATCTGAACTAGAGAGTGTGGGCTTTCTATCAGTATACACTCCATTAGCCAGCGTTGCCGATGACCCCACACAACTCTCTATTGACACGACGCCAGCGACCAACAGCTCAAAACAACGGTGTTCCACAGCTCTCCCTCATCGTCTCCCATCGAATCCCTATCAGTACAACAAAAGCACTATACCCAGACGTCCCGATATGGCTAAAGGATACTCACTTCCAGTACCAGTAATACCACGCCACCAGATGGCTCGACAGCATACAACAGAACCTCCAATTACCCATTCTGGACCGAAGTCCATTGTCAACCAAGCACAGTCTCATCGTCGGAACTACCTACTTAACACCCCAAACCCAATAAAGCACTTCCAAATTCGCAACAAACCCCGTTACACTACCCACCGTGTCAAACCAATACCCAAGCAACTACAACCGGTGCCTATTACTCCTTCTGCTCTGGTTTACCAAGCGTTACCCTTGGTTGCTGCTCCGACAAGATCTAGCCATTCATTCAGAAAACCATATTTACTCGAATCAACAAATCACATTGCTCAAACTCCAACTTATCAACATCAGTTCAAAACACACGGATATCCGGCGCCTAACCGAAGACAACAGTGTGCTGCTATTGACAACTCGACATTCAACATGAACACCACAGCTCCATCAACTTCGACCAACCGCTCTCACACATCAGGACTCCTGCAGAATGTCTGGTCGCCGAGAAGTGCTACACCTACTGCTGCCCCTTTTTTATGGAGTCCTTCAGGGTGTGGTCCACCAAGCCAAGTTCTCCAAGAGCTCGCCCCTGCACTGCATCATCTACAGAGACTCATTTATACACTGCAGTCAACCCAAAACGGTTGGCTCCAGCCCTACGCGTAACCCCCTTGGACCTCAAACTGACAAGTGACCCGTCAGCGGCTGACTGCCTCCAGCGTAACAATCCGCCGCCCCCGGCACACATATCCGCTGCACTTAACTCACCTATTCCAAGCGCTTCCAAACTACCCGGTTGCGACACCACTGCAGAAGCTGCCGACCAGACGACAGGACGCTATGCTTACAACAAGTATACACTCTTCCTCCTCAATGCACGATCGATCAAAAATAAAATGCACCTCATAGGCCCCCTCATTCTTCTATCACGCCCGCATCTGGTGCTGGTCACAGAAACATGGCATTCGGCCGATGAATCTGACACACCACTACACATCCCAGGGTACACTATTTTCTGTAGTGGACGCGCCAACCACCGAGGTGGCGGATGTCTCATATACGTCAAAAACGAGTTTCATGCAACATCTTTCCAAACCGTATCCCTTGGTAATTCCGAAGACTCAGTATGGATTCAGGCCGCTGGAGGTCCATTTGACCTCTTGATAGGCTGTTTATACAACCCACCGCACTCCTCTTGTGTTAGCGTTGACAAAATGCTCAAGCTCTTCCAGGAAGTCACATTTCTTCCTGCACGCTATAAAATTATTGCTGGAGATTTTAATATGCCTCATGTCTCGTGGCTTAATCAGACAGCCCCACCCAAATATAGAGCCCTGGTAGACACTATTTTCACACATGACTGGACTCAGCATGTGAACACACCGACTAGACAATCTAACATACTGGACCTAATTTTCACCAACGGCATTTCCCATGCATGCGCCAGCGTGTTAGACAAAATACCGGGCAGCGACCACAACGTGGTGAAGCTCTCTTTTGCACTGCCTAAATTCCCTTACCAGGAAGATAACAAGTATGAGGTATCACGCCCCCTCCAGCGCATCAACTGGGTAACATTTTCTTCCCTTCTCCGAGCATCACCCTGGGACGATTTCTTCCTCTCAGATAATATAGATACTGCGATCAGGGAGCTTTACAATAACCTCACTAACTGCTTAGACGTCCTTGCCCCCCAAAAGAGGAAGCCAAGAAGGCGGCAGACTCTTGATGATGCTTCTACACGCAAACTAGCTACTAGGCTTAAGAAAATGCGCTGCCGCTACAGCAAGACTAAAGACTTTTATCTAATCGTCCGAATGAATGAGTTACTAATCGCCTGGAGAACTATACAAAGCAATGCTCGCACATTAGCTGAGCACGCAGCGCTTTGCACTGATAACAAGGCAAAATCTCTTATTCGACTAATGAAGCAGCGGGGTGGCAGCAGAGATATAACGATCACTACCCTTCTACTTCCTGATAAAACTATAGTTACTGATGCGGTCGAGCTCTGCGACCGCATTAACACGCACTTCTGTAACTCCTTCACCAGCAATGACTTGGCATCGCCAACTAGGATTCACAAGTTCACTGAAGACCAAATACATACCATTGACTTTGAGTTAAACAACATCAAGCGAGCACTTTGCTCCTTGAAAATGTCCCACTTTCCAGGTCCGGATGGTGTACCTTCTTCCGTATTAATACTTGGTGGATCGGATATTCCAGTCCTTCTCCTCAATATCTTCACCCTCTCTATGAAGAGTGGACAATACCCGTCTATGTGGAAACACGCAACCATCATACCAAGACACAAAGGAGGCTGCCGACAAAATATTGACAATTACCGTCCTATTAGCCACTCACCCATTGCGTCGAGACTCATGGAAAAAATAATAAAGGACGGGATGCTTCGTTTTCTGCTGCAACGCAACCTCATTAATAGGTCCCAACACGGATTTCTGCCTTCTAAATCTTGTCAAACTTGCCAGTTTGAATTCTTAAACAACGTTACACACGCCATAGACCTGGGTCGAGCGCTGGTCATCATCTTCCTTGATATGAAAAAAGCATTTGACCGGGTTCCACACAATGGTTTGTTAATAAAATTAGCTGCATTCGGTGTTTCCGGCCGTCTCCATGCTTGGTTCTCTTCTTACCTTTCTAGCCGAACGCAGTCAGTGCTGCTGGGCGATGTCTTGTCTAAGAAGGCTTCCGTAACCAGCGGAGTGTTCCAAGGCAGCGTCCTAGGTCCTTTGCTGTTTTTACTCTACATCAATGATGTATTCCAGATCTTCCAATATGGCACTCCCTACCTCTTTGCTGACGATATAAAAGTGGTATTCTCATTTG